GGAGAGACTAGAAAGGTTAAGTAACTTGCTAACAGCTAGTGAATATCAGAACAAGGACTTCTGATTCCTTGTAGAGTGCTCTTTCAACTTTGGTGGTATAGGGCTGAAAGGAAACCAGCCACCTACTACCTTTATGACCATAGGCAAATCATTTCATCCCTTTGAGCCTCAATTCTCTTATCTGTGAAGAGGCTGGACTAAATGGGCTCTAAGATCCCTCCTTGTTTTAAATTAATGACAATGATTCTTTCTTCATTACCAAAAGATACTATTACAGATCTTAGAACTGACATCAACTAATATCCAAAAAGCCCTGAATGAAAACAGATATTATAAAGGATACCAAGAATCGGTCATTTAAAAAAAATTATTAAATACTATGTGCAATAAATTGGATCATGATGAAGAAAATATGAACATCCTCTAAGACTTTACAATCTAAAAGGAAAAATAAGAACTTTAGATCATAGGATCATATGGCTATAGATCATATAGCTTCCTTAATGTATGGGTCTCATTACCATTGTGCTGCAAGTTTTAAGCCTATTTTTCCCATTGAAGCTGAGTGTATTTGTGGGAGAGTATGCCCCAGGTTTATGGAGTAAATGTTTTGTAGGTATATCTTTACTTCATCATCTTAGTAAATGCCTTTGCTAAGAGTTTATTGTATCTACTGGCTTACCATTTATGGGAAGCATATCAATGGGGGCTCAGAAATTATATTTGTAGGAATAGCCACACATAGAGTTATCCTTAGAATCCAAAGTAACAACTACCCTCTAAGGCCCTAAACCTGGAGTGAAAGTGTTAAATTAGGGAGCAGCTGGTGAGAGAACTGAGACCTTCAAGTGACTTGTCTAAGATCTGACAAATAAGTAGCACAGCCAAATTTGAACTTGGGCCATCTTATTCTGGATCCAGTGCCTCTTCTATTATGTTACCCCAAGTCTTGATAAATACAGCATCAGTCAGATGTATGAGTGTGACAACTAATAAGTGCAATAGAAGGTCATGAAAAGCAGGACTAGGCTAATCAGGGAAGGCGTCTTCAAGGCAGGGTTTGATCTAGGCAAGCATTTTGAAATACCTCCTAAGATCACAGAGTCACAGATTTAGAGCTGGAAGAGATCTCAGAGACCAACTCCTCTCCTTTAACAGATAAAGAAGTCTAAGCCTAGAGAGACTGGCCCAAGGTCATACAGGAAAGAGGCATAACTGGGATTTGGTATGAAGAGGAGTAAATAAGCATTAAATACCTACTGTGTGTCGGCACTGTGCTCATCACTTTACAGGTATCTCAACTGATCTTCACAACAACCCTGGGAGATAGGACTATTATTATTATCCCCATTTTACATTTGAGGCAACTGAGGCAGACAGAGGTTAAATGACACCAACGGTTGCAGAACTAGTAAATGTCTAAAGCTGGAGTTGATCCAGGTCTTTCTGACTCCAGGCCCAGCCCTTTATCCACTATACACCTTGCTGCCTCTGATTTGAACCCAGGTCCTCTCACCTTCAGGTCCAGCTCCTGTGATATAGATTGTGGGAGTAAGAGCAGGTTCTAGGCCAAGAGTTATAAACTTTTTTTTAATATCATATCCTCTTTGGCATTGCAGTAAAGACTTTGGACCCCTTTTCAGAACAATGTATAAAATACATAGGATCACAAAGGAAACTAATTATATTGAAATGCAGGTATCAAAATATTTTTTAAAAAAATAAGTGCATTCTTCTAGGGCTATATCCCAAAGAGATCACACAAATGGGAAAAGGACCTACATGTACAAAAATATTCACAGCAGCTCTTTTTGTGGTGGCAAAGAATTGGAAATTGAGAGAATGCCCATCATTTGGGGAATGGCTGAGCAAGTTGTGGTATATGAATGTGATGGAATACTATTGTGCTATAAGAAATGATGAACAGGCTGACTTCAGAAAAACCTGGAAAGACTTGTATGGTCTGATGCTGAGTGAAGGGAGCAGAACCAAGAGAATGTTGTACACAATAACAGCCACATTGTGTGATAACTAATATTGATAAACTTAACCCTTCCTGGCAATACAACGATCTAAGACATCTCCATAGGCCTTGTGATGGAAAATGCTATCCACACCCAAAGAAAGAACTATGGAAGCCAAATTGTTATTTTTTCTCTCTTCTGTTGAGTTTTGTTTCCGCTTTCTGATGTTTCCTCCTATTGGCTTTAATTTCTACTTATAACATCACTAATGTGAAAATGTTTAACAAGAATATAAATGTATAGCCTATATCAGATTGTGTGCCATCTTGGGAAGGGTGGTGGGGAGGAAGGGGGAGAAAAATTTTAAACTCAAAAGCATATGGAAATGATCATTGATAAATCAAAATAAATTAATAAAAAAATAAATAAAAAAATAAACTGACAGTTCTCTGTTACCTCAAAAAAAAAAACCCAAACAAAAAAAACCAAAACAAAAAAAAAAAGTTCCTTTACCCTAGGTTAAGAACCCCTATATTGTTGTTGAGTCCTGGCTGATTTGTGGAGACTCTATTTGGGGTTTTCTTTGCAAAGACACTGAAGTGGATTGCCATTTCCTTTTCCAACTCATTAACAGATGAGGAAACTGAGGCAAACAGGGTTAAGCTAGTAGCCCTGGGTCACAGAGCTAGTAAGTGTCTGAGGTCACATTTGAATTCAGGTCTTCCTGACTTCAGCCCAGTGCCCTATCCTAGCCGTGCCTACCTTAAGTAGAAGGAAAATCACATAGGGGGGAAAATCAAGGTATATTTTGGTAAAGTGAATAGATTGGTCTGTTTAATGAATGGATCTCTCGTATTCAGGGGTTCTTAAAATTTTTTGTGTGTGTCATGGACCCGTTTGACAGTTTGGTGAGTTAAGCTGTTGCATCCCTTCTTAGAATAAAGTTTTTGTTTAAATGCATAATTGAAGGAAATGTTCAAATTCAGTTAGAGGTTAATGAAAATAAAGATGTATTTTTTTCCCATCCAAGTTCACAGACTCCCTGAAATCTAGACGTGACCTCCAGGGAAAGAATCTCTCCTAGGGGAATGGTACCACAAGGACTAGAAAGGTCTTTAAGGCCAGGCTTTGAAGCCCTGGCTAAAGAATTTGCACTTTATTGAAAAGATAGTTTGGAGAAAGTATGTAATGAGCAGGAAGCAAGGTCAGGCCAAGGGTATATGCAAGTTTCTGAATAAATAAACCAGGTTTTTTTGTTTTTGTTTTTTAAAGTGAATATATCCTCTCTGGTTGGTTAGTATTTGCAGGCCTTGAATTGGGGAAGGGGTGGAGAACCTCATGTTCAGTCCAAGAGAGCTGACTGGAGGATGCCAGCCTTGGAGCTTTTTTGGAAAGATGTGCGGATACTTCACAACCTAGAGCACGTGCTCATAAAGAGCCGGTGATGGGGAGGCGCGTGAATTCCCCAAAACACTTAACTTTGGGGAAGGGTTTTATCTCCAACGCCCGCCCTTGGAATCCTTCCCTTCCCTCCCCTCGTGTTCCCCCAGGATCCCCGCAGGCTGTCAATCAGTGCCCGTTGCTGCCCCGACTGGACGGTGATGCTGCCCTTCTAACTGATTGATCACCTGGCGCTCTTTCCTCCCCATGCCCGTCCCTATGGTTGCTGTCAGTCGCTTCAGTCGCTCATTGGCCAGCGGGCTCAGGACGTGGGCGGGAGGGGGTGAGGAGAGTGTCCGGCGACGCCAATCCCCCTACCCCTTTCTAGTCTCCCTGTTCTTTCATTGGCTATCGGAAAATTAACAGGCGCCTAAGCAATCGCACACGAACACACGTGTGTATGTATGTGTGTATGTGCGTTTGTGTGTTGGGGGTGACGGTACCTCCCCTCTCCCACTCAGGAGTATTGGTTCCACTGCTGTGACGCTAGCAGCGCGCTTCCCTCCCTCCATCGGCGATTAGTAGAGAGAGATGTCCGTCACAGAGCAGCCCCACCCTCTTTCCCCTCCCACTCTGCCCTCCCTACTCAAGCCTCAGTCTCTACCGAGCTTTTCTAAGGGCTACCCTAAGCGGTTTGATTGACAGTTAGGCGTGTCCCTCCTCTCTCCGATGGCTTCGGTTTGCATTGGCGGGTAGTGCCTGTCACTTCTGTTTAGTTCACTACTCCTTTATAGGTTCTATCCCCTCTTAGCCTCCTCCCCCCCATTCCCCCGGAGCCTTAATTAGCTTCACGGTTTTCGTCAGAAACACAAGCTCCTCTTGCTCCTCGGCTTGCTCTTCCCCTCCCCCGCCGCAGGCCCCTCCCTCTCGCTCGGCGAACTCCAGGCTAGGAGCGCGGGCGCACACACCCTCCCCAGTATCCACCACCCTCTCAAGTTGTAGCGGTCGCTGCGCTGCGGGGGTTGGCCGTGGGCTGTAGACTGGCAGGCGGGCGGGGTGGGGGAGGGGGGTTTGAACTTGGCGGCGCGGAGCCGAGCGGCGGTGAGCTGGGAGTGGTGTGGAGGGTCAGGGACTGCGGGTCCACCTCCTGCTCCGGGAATGAGGGGCGGCCACTGACCAGGAGCAAGGAGACACCGAGGGAGTGGGGGGGACAGCGGCAGCAGCAGCTCGGGCCGTGACGAGCCCCGGGATGGCCGCGGCGGGGGAGCCTCCCGGCAGGAGCACCAGCACCAGCACCGGCAGAGGCAACTGAGGCACTCTGCTGGACGGCTCTCCACGTCCTCTCCTCCCAGCACTCCGAGGAACTTCCCTTCGGCTCCGCCCGCCCTCGACGCCCGCAGCCCCCAACTTCTCGCAGCCCGGGAGGAGCGCGTGCGGCGCTGGGACCCGGCCCGAGATGGGGCTCTGAAGATTTGAGGGCAGGCGGAGGGCGGCCGGCCGGCCCGGGGCAGGAGGAGCGAGAAGAGGAGGAGGAGGAGGAGAGACGGGGTGCTTCGGCGGCGCGGGAGCTAAAGGCGGGGAGGGTGCGGGCAGTTGGGGGTGACGGGGCCCGCAGGGGGGCCTTCCGCTCCTCCTCCTCCTCCTTCTGTCGTGACCGCCGCCGCCGCCTCCATGCAGCGCCAGCCTGAGCTGCCAAGCTCGGCGGCCGCGATGTCGTCGTCGTCCCCGGCCAGCGCCGCCATCTCAGCCTCGGAGAAAGTGGACGGCTTCACCCGGAAATCGGTGCGCAAGGCGCTGAGGCAGAAGCGCGCGCAGGGCTCGTCACAGTTCCGCTGTCAGAGCAACCTGCCCGAGCTGCAGCCCCTGCCCCAGCTTAAAGGTAAGCGCAGCGCCCGCCGCCGGCCCCCGGCCCCCGGCCCCGGTCCCGGCTCCGGCTCGGGCTCCTCCTTCCTCCTCCTGGCCGCAGTCACTCCTCGTCCAGCCACCTCCGGCTTGCCCTCATCCCTCGGGGTGCAAGAGGTGTTGTAGGTGCTGAGATGGTGGTGTTTTTGTTCACGACCCCCCCCCCCCCCCGCAATCCAATCTTCGAACCACCCGAAGTATTGAAGGCCTCCTGGAGGGAAAGTTGCCCTGGCCTTCCCTTTCTCAGTAGGGGAGTTTGCAACCGCCTTGGTCTTGGTTCCCCTCTGCCACTTGGGTTCTCTCGATTGCCTGCGGTTTGGATTTGAACTCAGGTTAAACTTAGGCACACTTCTCAAAAGCTTGTCGGTCTCCTTTTTCTTGCATTAACCCCCCCCCCCCACCCCGGTTTTATTATCGTCTTGCGACTTTCGCTTTCCTCGGGTTTCCACTTTTCTCTGCTACTCTAAGCCTGGCAACACAGACACACAGCCTCTTTTAACATACATACACACACACACTCAACACACACACACACACACACTCGTCCAACTCACGGACACACACTCTCATCGACACACACCCCACCCCTCAAACAGACACACACACGCAAACTCCCCCTCCCACTGATTACTCCTAGAGGCCATATTGATGAAGATTGCTAATGTACACAGCTGTCCTTATTAGTTGGGTTTTTAGGAAATTAAGTTATGTGTTTCTTTTTAAGTGAAACTTTTCACTGGCTAATGCAGAACAAATGCATTTTCCTAACCTGGGGACCAGGAAGACTTTACAATCCCTGTGGGCTCAGAATGCATCAAGAGTAAACTGAAAGGCATAAAATGAAGAGAATTCTCTTCAAAGTGCTATGGAATTTTCTCCAGTGAGTGTGTCGTCCCAATTCTATAGCTTTATGCAGCAATTCAGAATGAGATTCTATCCAAAGCGGTGCAGAGGAAATTAGCAATCCCATTGGATTTTCCTGTCAGTTTATAAGATTTTCAGTCAGTTGTTTCCATTGGGAAATACTGTAATTTTCCTCTTTCTCTAACAGAAATACCTTGCATTTGTACAGTTTTGACGGTTTGTTGGGTAAGGATGCTGTCTGAGATTGAAATATGATTCCATTTGACAGTTTTAGAAAACTAGTCAATAAAAGCTACAAAGACTGGCTAGTCAACATGGAAGAATTTCAGTAAAAATTTAGATTTTTTTCAAGGCCTGAAAAACAGAAAGTTCACACTCAGATATTTAACTATGAAATGCACAAAGTGCATTTTAAAATCTTTTCTCCCTGCTTTGCCTACTCCTCAAGCCAATCTGGGTCCCAGCTGTGTGAATTCAGTTAAAGCTGAAAGAAGCCCCAGAGAAAACCTTTCTAGTATGTATGGAACCTCTAGAACTGTTTCTGCTTCTTAGCCTCTAAATAGGAGACATTCTTCCAGGAAAAATAAGGCAGGTACTGAACCAGAATCAAACTGAATAGAAGTGGAATTTGTGAAATGTGGTGTCCGTTATCAACTTTAAGCTTATTCCTTAGTAAGTTATACAAATTAATTGGAATCTAGATATCATGGTCACTTGAGTTCAACTTGGTGGTAGGCATTGCCGAGAAATATTTGAGAGTGATGTCATTCACATCTAAGAAACTTGAGTTGCTTGGTCCTTTGTTTAGCCTAAATAATAAAAATTGGGGTTTTAAAAAAACCATTTAATTCTAAATTATCAATTTGATTTTGTAGTTAGCAGAAAAAGCATGAAATAGTTTTCATTTCCCTGTGTTAAAAGCAAGTTTAAAGTACAGTATAAATTAGCTTCAAACTTTTTAATACTATATCTACTTTTAACTGCTAAACAAAAAAAGCAAAGTTGAGAATAAAAGCTTTTGATTATCCTGTAAAGTAAGACATTCTACCTTTACAACTTTCCCCTCCCCCAAACCCTTAGTGCTGTTCATACTGTCCTAAAAGGTAATTGGAGAGATATTTGCTTCATTTCATATGATTGGTGCAAGCTTACTGCTCAAGGTCAAATGTAAGTGTTTTCTTTATAATGGCATATAGTTTGAATAAGTGGAAAGTTATTCATTTTATTTAGTGTTTGGTTTTTGTGGAGGGGGGAATAAGAAAATTAGAATGTTTGAGCAATAAATGTAGCAGTGAATGTAGGTTTGATTCTTGGACTCTTTAGTGAAGATCACCTTTTGGAAAACAAACATTCCTTAGGAAAGTGCTATTTATTTAATAAAATGAGCTTATGCAAATTTAACCTTTCTTTGCTCTATTTACACCAATAGGAAAAACTAGATTAGTTTTAATAGACTTTCTAAAATGCTGGGAAAGCATATTTTAACCCGTTGCTTCAATTACCATTGTTTGTGCTTAATTAATATAAGAAACTAGTATATAACATTGTAGGTATCAAACACAATATATTTCCCCCTTGGCCAAGTGCTGCTAGTTTTCTCATGTTTAGCTACAGCCCTAATAAAGAAAGAGAAGACTTGTAGTATATGTGGGAAATTGCATATTCCTCCATGCCCTCAAATTTTATCCTACTATAAAAGTGAAATAAGTATATATATATATATATGTATGCATTCAGAAACAACCTGCTCATGTTACAACTTTGTTCATGTAGGCCCAGTGTTGGCAGGGTGCCAGCTAGCTTTCTCTAGTGTACCATGTGCAGGGATTACTTAACCAAATAATCTAATCTTTAGTCTATCTCTATAAGAAGCTCATTTTTGTAAAATGATTTCTAAAATGGATTTTGTTGTTTTATAGGGAAAATGTAAGTCCTTAGCAAATCTGTTATCCTGAAGAGTAAGCAAATGTTTAAAAAATAATATGGGACCTAAAAAAATTACCACTACTTTGAATTTGTATAGCACTTAACTTTTTTCAAAACATCTGTTGTTTCACTTGAGCCTCCCAACCACCCTAAATAATAAAATAGGACAAATTTAACATGGCAATAATATACAATTTTTTTGTTTATTTGAATTTACTTCCGGACAAGGTGTAATTACAATTTTCCAGGGAAAAAAATTACCCTCTTCTCCTCAACACAAGAATAAGAAGCCACTTAAAGTTTTCCCATCTTTATTGCAGACATTGTTATCAGCTATGTTGAGGGATCAGCCTTGAGTAGGTGTGAAAACATATCAAACAAATGTTTATATTAATATCGATGTAACTTGCTTTAAGGCTGGGGTTCTTAACCTTTTGTGTGTCATGGAACCCTTTGAATAATAGTCTTTTGAAGCCTGTGGACCTCCAACTCAGGATAATGTTCTGAAATGATTGAATGAAATGCTTAGTTTTAGTTAAATATCAGTGAAAATAAAGATATAATTTTTTTCCAATCTCCTGAAATTTATCCAGGGACTGGTGGTTAAGAACCTCAGCTTTAAGTAGACTTGTTATTATAAAACTTGGATTTTTACAGAAGATAAGTTAGGAAGTAATTTGCTTTTCAAGAAGATTCACAATGTAATTTATTTAAATAATAAATTATTTAAATTTGTCATAGCTCACTTGTCAAATGAGGACTCAGATTTATGTAATTACTTTAGAATGGTTAATTTGCATAGCTTACCTAGTACTTCTAAAATATGACTTGGATGTAAATTGAATTTTTGCAGATCAACATTTGCCAGTACAAATGCCATATTCTTTAGATGCATCTGTATAGAAATGAGTAAGGTAAAAAGTAAGCTCATAGAAAGGATGCCACACTTATAGGCCAACAAAAAAGCAGGTGGAACTTACAAAAAGCATGATGACTTAGCACTTGGAGTATAGTAGACACTCAGGAAATTGATAAAATAAGAAATTGGAGACTGGAGGGTCACATGCCCTGGTTGGAGTAGAGAATAAAGCACCAGCGGGTATATGCTGCCCCTCATCTTGCAGAGGTGATTGGTGTATTTACTGTAATAATGACTGTAGATGCTCTGCTTCCTTTTAGAGAAATATTTCCAGAAAATGCAGTCTTTCAAGACTGAAATCTTTATCGCCTAAAATCTGAAAGATTTTCTGAGAATTGTGTTGGCAAATATACAACCCACTCTTCCTCCAACTTTTTTTTCTGAAGTTTTGTATAGCCTACAAACCTTAGTTTTATTTCTAAATTGCTGTAATGTTAAAGAATAGGAATGTTTACAATTTGTCTGTTTTTTAAAAATTTGTTTATAAGTGGATATATATGCATATACACATATACATACATGTTTGTCATTTAATTTGATCACATTAGAAGCTTATTCTTGAAGATCTATCATGTCCCTAGAACACAGTGGTTTTTATTTATTAGAATATGGATCTAAGAGTAGTACCTAAATATAGTGTCCATTGCTAGTCTTCACATATAGACTTTTCTATTTAAGTCTTTCAGCCTTGTTACATGCCTATTTAGGATCAAATTTCTCTTTTTCCAGTTCATTGCCCTTTCCATTCCTTGATGAGAATTATTTTGTAAATGTCTAATTGAATAGAACAAATCACATTTGGAAATAAAAGTTTATTTAGAGAAACAGCAGGTTAGCCAGCCTGGGCAGTGAGAGTCTTCATTTCTCTTTCTATAAGTTTCTTTCTTTCTTTTTTTCTTTTTTACTCCCTAAGTGTTGAAATGTCATCTCAGACAAATTGTCTTTGAACTTCAGTTTCTTCTCTGAAATGTATCCTTGTCACCAAACCCCATCCTACCATAGGAGCTAATGTAATGAAGTACTATCATCTTGAGATTGAAATTTTTGCTTGCTGATAAGATTGGCCTTGATTAATTAAGAATAATCGAAAAGTTTGTGGAATTACCCTTAATTTTTTATTAGCTTTGAAATGATTTTCAAGTGTATGAGAGAGATCAGTTTCATTATTTCATTTAAAAGTATAGCTCAAGTCCATAACTGAGATATTTTCCTATTGATCTTGGCCTCTTTTGACACCTATGCCATTTTTTTGTTCTTGGTGATTATAG